GAGGAGGGGTGGCGGGTGGGGGCAGGCACGACATGACGCCATCGCGGCCTGCGGGCGGCCAGGGATCAAGGATCTCCCCCCAAACGTAGCCGGCGGCGGCAGCCACGCGACTGACCTTCCTCCCACCTCCCGGCGAGTACTTCAACTGCACCTCCAACAAAAGCGCCGCACGAAGGATTGGAAACGAGCGGTTGTGAGGTAAAAAAAGGATTTGAAGTCAGAGTCTACATGGTAACCATGTGCTTAGCCCGTCGACACAAAGCCGGCATCATTGGCGTTTTCTCTAAAAAAAAAAAACGAGCTCAAACTGGAAAAGAAATAAAATCGCAAGTGGCTGGGAATTCACTTTTCAATGTTTCGCTCTTATGTTCAAGTCCAATTTTATTTTATTTTTGCTCTTGTTTTCCCTTTATTTACTCATTGAAACTTATAGACAGAATAGGCGGCCAGCTCCAGGCTCTCTCGGGGCCGACGGCCCATCCTAGCAGCCGCACTGCGTTTAGCTCGTTACTCAATTGGGAGGAAGGAAACTAGCAGAAGACAGGAAGTGGCGTCCAGGCCAGGGCAGGCCGCAGGCGGGAGGCGGCTGGGGCGTCCCGGCGCGCACAGGCTCAGCGGGCGCCACCTTGAAACATCCCCACTCCAGTGTTCGGAGCAAATGCTCGACTCGGACGAGCGTTCGTTCCTTTTGTACACTCGGAGAGACTCAGCACTGACCATCAGCGACATGTAAATGCAGCGGCTAAAAGACCCATCCCATCTTCATCTTTAAATACACACTTCAACGCACACACGTTTATCTCGTGAAAAATACTAACGAAAATCGGAAAGCAAACAGCCTAGCGCTTTCCACAAGCAACCATCATAGACTAAGCTTTCTACAGGGCGGGAGGGCGAGAGGAAATGGGGAGGGGGAGGGGGCAACTGCTGCTCCGTACTGACACCGATCTAAAGATTCGAGCAGCAGTCTGTAACAAACACGCAGGTGAGAGCCCCTAGGGGGGAAAGGCAAGGGAGGAGGAAGTGGGAGGGTGGCACTCACTGACCAACACCAACAAGGGCGACCTGTTTATGTTACCTTCCACCTCAATGGAGACACGTACACATTGGAAACGCAAGTGTGTGTGAATGTCACACACTTGCAGGTGTGTGAATGTTTATTTGTACACTTAGGGGGTGAATTTTCTAAGAAAAATTCTTACCCCCGTAAGTGTACGAATGGGTGTTCACACACCTGCAAGTGTGCGACATTCACACACTAGGGTTTCCAGTGCAGTGGCAGGACTGTGACATTATAGCGCCACAAACGGCGCATTTCATTTTAATGCCAATGTACGTTGTTTTAACAGTTGTAACTGTTGTGACAGTCGACCTGGTAGACACACTCTTGCTTGTGCGTGCCTGCAAGCACGCACTGCAACTACTGGAAAGAGATGTCTGTCCTAAAAAGAGCGAGAGTTTTCTACTTTGCTCAATTTGAGTGATGATCTAGTTGGTCTAATCGCTCTGCAGAGAGTCAGGAAATTTACAGCAAAATCTCGCTCTCCGGAGAGCATGAATCCTCGCTCTATGATTTCTAGTGCGCTCTTTCTGGCGCTGGGTTTCTGATATGATTCCTAAAAGTAGGCAACATGCGCCTCCGTGAAGGCAACCCATATCGCCCCTCCCATTTGTGGCGCTTAAAACCGTGCCTTCTCCCTTGTGTGTTCATATTTTAGACTTACAGTGTGAAGGCGAAGGCACACTGAGCAATAAATTTTAGCAACTGTTACTGAGGGTGCCTTGATGATTTTCAGGATTTCCACATTTTTGCCTAGCATTCACATTTCATACAAAATTTTAAAAGTTTCCATGACTTTCCGCAATCAAACGTGGGGGCTCCATCGGCTCCATAAAACCAACAACGGTGTAAAGAGCGCCCACAATTTGTATGCCACCCGAATCCGTCACATATCAGAAATACCATGACCGTCCGAGGTATTTTCCTGACTTTGCATGACTAAACGTGTTTTCCAAACTTGTGGGGACACTGTTTTTTCAGTCTACACTTGCACTCGACCATATTTTGTACGTTCAAGCAAAGACGAAAAGCAAGCATGCACGAGAAATAAGAGTGTGCAGTGCATTCGCCATACGTATATAGAGTATGCATCGTACCTGCTGGGGCCCAATGTGCCGTCAACATGCACATTTTTCATGCTGGTATCTGGGCACGGCAGCAAAGGCACACACAGTAACAGCTCTTCATCATTGTAATCAGGAAAGGAGTTGGAGGGGGGGGGCAGGCGCAACGGAGGTGGCCATATCGATGTAAGCGTAAGCAGCCCAGCCGCGCCGCACCCCTGCACGCACGCACGCAC